GGGTTGTATTTTTTTATTTAATTATCATTTAATATGTTAAATGAAAATTTACTCTTTTACCCCTTTTTAAAATAATAAAAATGTGGTTACAGTCAAATTTTTGGTCAACTAATGGAATTGTGGATGGAAACTATCCAAAAGGCTTCACCTACAACGTTTGAAAATATTAGGGGTGACGGCTGCAACAAATCAAAGGTTTGGGAAAAGTCTGCTAATGTTTCGAAGGTTTGGAGCTTTTGCTGCAATTTTCTCTTTTTTAAATTACTAAGTGAATTTTTTGCTTATAAATCATTTTTTACTAATATATTTTTATTTATTAGTTGAAAAAATATTTTGGATGAAAATAATTATTTTAAAGAGGATCAAACTAAAATAGAATATGAGAAATGATCAAAACTCGTTAATTTGACGGGTTGAGAGGATTGGTCAAAATTACGATCCACCAATTTTGGATAATTTTTAATTCCAATTTTTCTTCATAAAGAACTAATTTTTTCAACCCCTAACGAATGGAATCGTTCAAAATCAGTCAAACTCATTGAAAAAGAAAGAAAAAAAAAAAAAAAAAAAAACTCCAAAGCATACCCTAAAATAGTCGGTACCAAGTTCCAAAATTAAGGATTTTCAAAAAATATTTAAAGAAAATATCGTGTACTTGTGGGCCGGCTCAGTTCAACTCAGTTCATAAGCCCCAATCGAGCCAAAATTATGGTTATGTCGATTTGAACTATTGTCATCCCTACATGGACCCACTCATATTACTCACTGGTGATCCCTCATTTTCAACATTTTTTTTTTTTGTAATTTACTTGTTTTTAAATTAAATTCGTGCATTGTGGTACTTGTTGTTTCCCTTCTCTAGGTTGATGGAAAATGTGTAGCAAAAAAATTAAAATATATATATATAATTATGAATTTATGTGTAATACTTTATTGAAAAATATATGACCGAAAAGAATCACAAAAACGTACTTTGAAAATAATGAGAATCAAACAAGGTCGGTCTGACTAACTAAACAAATCTAGCAAATATAGTCATTACGGGACCTACACAAAAGATAAAAAGTCAAATATGGTGGTTTGATGTGATGAATAACGATCATATTTTTCATTTTCGTAGCTAAAGAATGAGAATCAAACGAGAGCTTAATTTCGTAGGATGCACATAGACAAACGATGACTATTTATAACAGTTATAAATCGAGTCTAGTAAACATTACTTACTGTATGTTCATGTGCTGCCAAGACGAAAACCACGATCAAGGCGTGGATGGTGGAATACATTTCACTATTCACACGTTCAATAGCAACTATTAATATTATTATTATTATTATTATTTTGGGAAGTGGATTGGAGCCAGTCCATTTTTATTCTGCTTCAAATTGTGGAAAACCTGTAATTAAAATGTAGTTAAGATAATCAGTTAAGGCCTGTTTGATTACAAAAATAGAATTAAATTGAATTGAAAACGAATTTCAGGGAATTGAATTGCTTAGAAATTGTTTTCCTGAGAATTGTAAATTATTGTGTTTGAGTGGTATAATTTTTGACGTGAAAAATGTTGAAATAAAATTATTTTTTATTGTTCATTTGGCTTTGTTTTACATGAAAATTGTCGATTAAAGGGATATAATTTACTGTTATTGGGGATGAAATTTGTTTCAATTGTCAAAAAAAAAAAAATCAAGAAAATCATCTATCTTTTTGTGTTCGTTTGACTTTATTTTACATGAAAATTGTTAGTTAAAGGGAAATATTTTTTTACAATAATTCTTAAAATTTGTTTCCATTGCCAATACAAAAATAATAATAATAAATAAATAAATTCATATCCAAATGTTTTTCAAGTTCCGACGGTGAAAATGGAGAGGCTCCGACAGTGTATCAATGGTGTTTAGATACTTAGACTAGAACGATGATGGTAAAATCTCATAGAATGAGCTACGGAAGTGCAAAATATCGGAGGAGGAGGTGTAAATGGCATGGAATGTTAGGGCTTGAGGACTTCACGAAGCTGCTGGAGGAGAAAAAGGAGAAAGCATTGAAAATGTACACGATAGAGAATAGTGGATTCACAACGCCTAAAAGTTTGAAGAAAATGCAAAATCGATTGGGAAATTCGACCTCCATCAATAATTGCAAAAGCATTATAAGTCGGTTCTACGTTAATGGAGAAGGCAGCTTCGACAAATTTAAGTTCTGTTTGATTCGTTCGAATTCCATGGAAAATGAAATTCAAATTCCACCTTTTTCCAATCATGTGTGTTTGATACGTTTTAATTTCCAGGGAATTCCATTTTCTTGCTTGTCTTGAGAAATGATATTTTCTTGGTTTTTAAGGAGTGAGAATTGGTTTTCCAACCTACTGTTCACGGTTTTTTTTTTAATTTTTTTGTTGGCAATGGAAACAAATTCTAAAGAATTATTATAAAAAAATATTTCACTTTAATTGGCAATTTTCATGTCAAACGAACACCAAAAGATAGATGATTTTCTTAATTTTTTTTTATTGGCAATGAAAACAAATTTCATTCCCAATACCGGTAAAATTTATCTCTTTAATTAACAATTTTCATGTAAAATAAAGTCAAACGAACACCAAAA